TGCTTACATCGTCGGTGTGTTTGATTACTATTCTGGGCTTTAGATCCTATTGATTTGGCTTGTTTTGGGTAAAATATTCCAGTTAATGTGAGTTATAATGCTATCTTGCTAGTGTTCTGTATTTTCTAGATGGTTACACGATTCTACAGTAGCAGGATCTCATTCTAAACAAGTAAGCATACATTTCACTTAAGAATTTTGATAGATGTAAAATCCAGATGAGAAGTATCATATCATTACTCTGTCACTGTGATCTACTCGTACACCTTCTTGTAATTAGATAGTCTCTGAATCTAGCAATTCAGTTCAGAGAAAACATAATTTGGAATGTGAAAGCCTTTTCAGTTTGATATTTAGAGCCATTCGTTTTTAGGAGTATAAAAAGATTGAGACTAGACATTTTCGTGGTTTTGATTCAGATGTCTGTTGTTTAATAACATGATTCTTCTCCAGATCAGCTGCATATAATAGCTAAGATTGGGTATTATGATTCTATTTGGAAAGGCAAAAGATACAAGCAGGAATAAGAAGTGATAAGTGTGTTTTCCTTTCCAGCAGAGAAGGAATTTTGTAGATAATGAGAGGAGGAATGTATACATCAACCATGGGAGGAGGAGGACAAATGAGAGGGCGAGGCGTGCAGACAGGGAAGAGAGCATCCGACGAACCGTTTATGTCTCTGAACTCGACCATACTGTGAGTAATTGATGATTATATTAGTGTGCATAGCTATATTCTTGAGTGCCTGTTGGATCTAATGCTTTTGACCATCTGTTAGGTGACAGAGGAAAGACTTGCTGAAACCTTTGCTAACTGCGGGCAAGTAAGATACTTAACTTGAGGGCTTTAGTTGTACTGATATTAAATAGTAGAAATGTTACACAGAGATGTTAGTCTATTCAACTGCTCTCTCAGATCAGGTTGACACAATTATACCTGGTTGGGTTTTAGTAATTGTTGGTTATCTAACATTTTTTAACTTTATTCGGTCGACATGATTTCTCTATTCCCTGTTCTATAGATTTCATGTACGTTTGGTTATCAAAAATCAAGTAGGGAAAAAAGTGATAAGAAAAATTACCTGCCAGCACATTGTGATTTGCTATTTTATAGAGTATTTTGTAATTTTAATTCTCTGTAATGCAAATATGTGAAACTGTCTTTTCTCTTTGTCCTGAAGGTTGTCGATTGCAGAATCTGTGGTGATCCACATTCTGTTATGAGGTTTGCATTCATTGAGTTTTCTGGTGAAGGTATTATATCTTCACATGCTACATTTACGTTTTTCAGCAGTCAATTGATGGTTTGATACATGGTACATTTTGTACAGAGGGGGCTAGAGCTGCACTTAACCTTGGTGGCACAATGCTTGGGTTCTACCCCGTTAGAGTCTTGCCTTCAAAGACAGCTATCTTACCTGTGAATCCAAAATTTCTTCCAGCGGTAAGTTGTTTGGTTTCACCTTCTGTGACACCTATTCTGCTAATCCACAATTTAACTAATAATAGCATCCTATTGTGCCTGGCCCATAGACGGAGGATGAGAAGGAAATGGTCATACGGACGGTTTATTGTACAAATATAGATAAGAAGGTACCCATCTCTGTTATACTCTGTCATCTTATTGACTTTCACTTGCTCATTTTCTCATCATACATCTCTTTACATCGAGGTTCTTAAATTAGCTGCGAGATACTCAACAATTGAGACAGGACAATCAAATGAATGTTTCATTAAATTTTACCTGTTTTGCTGCAGGTTACTCAATTAGATGTAAAGAGTTTCTTTGAAGAACTTTGTGGTGAGGTGAGCTATTGCGCAAATCCAATCATCCTGTCGCACATCTTTTAAATAAGTATCCTGGCTGCTTAATGTTTCTGTTGTTGTAATTGCAGGTCTCTCGTTTGAGACTTTTAGGCGACAATGTACATTCAACAAGGATTGCTTTTGTTGAGTTTGTCAATGTAAGAACTAAGAGCCTTTTTATCCGTAGCCTAAGTCCCAATTTAATTGAACGATTTCCTACTAGCTCAGTAGCTATTAGCCTATTACTTTAAATTATGTGCTATGATATTAGTTAACCAAGGGCATGATCAGTGCATGTAGTTTGTTCATTATTTGCATGGTCAGCATGGCTCCAGTCTGTTGTTTTCACAAGAGTACAATCTATAATAACATTAGTCACTGTTCCAACTTCCAACCATTCACATTCCGCTGCTTCGTTATGGAGTGTCAACCAAGATGCCACTTTAGTACTGCTCTGAACACCATTTTCCTTAGACTGACCACAAAACGTCGATTGTATATTGCCAGTTTTGAGTTTGTAAGGAAATGAACCTGGGCTATGGTTTCTTGGTCATTTAAAAGTAGTTTATCAAGAACCAGGAGCCAAGCTTGCCTGAGGCTAACCATGATGACGTAACCCCGTGAAGCTCCCTCAGTTAGAAATGATTCAAACTTTAAAGTGCCTTCCCCACAATTGCACAACAGCATAAGCATGTAGGATTCTTTTATTTGCATTCCGGTGAATAAGTATGCTAAGAAATTGAAAAGCATGTCTGATTTCTATTCTTTCACTACACCTTGTTTTTCTTTACTCTTACTTGTATATTCTTATGCTACATTCTCTACAGTGTACGTGTCATTTCTTCCCATCAGAGAGCCCATTTCATATGTAGTTTTTGACAATCACTTCTCATGTTAAACGCTCGCAATTGCAGGCTGAGGGTGCCATCCAGGCTCTGAACTGCAGTGGGATGATTTTGGGCACACTGCCAGTCAGGTATGACCCTTTGGCTCCTATCCATTTATGTTCTCTACCTGAAATTCAGATACCTGTGCATTTGGTAACCTTGGTGGCATTGTGGTTCAGGGTGAGCCCTTCCAAGACCCCGGTGAAGCCCCGTCTAAATCGGGTGGTGTCAAACTGACTGCTTCGGCTACACACTGGATTGTTGAAGGGAAGGCTGCCTGACCATCACCTATAGCTTCCGCGATCCAGTGAAACTATGATGTTTCTGCTTAGATCCTTGCAACGGAAGAGCGTTTTCTTCCTTTAATTATCCCTTCTGAGAAACTGTTGGAAAGGGACTGGCTGAATCAGACCCTTGAGAGTCTTGAGAGTCCCGCATCTCGCAGACAAATCTGTGATGGATGGAGCAACCAGTAGAAAAACCTGCCATTCAGAGTAATTTCTGTGGCTAAAACATTGTTTCCTTGTTATCTCATTGGCTGTTATTACCATCAAAACGAATGATATTTTAACGGCTTGACGTGCCGATCGATTGTCGCTGTTATTCCTATAGTTTTCGTTGCTATTCTGCCGTTTTAAAACTTGCGAGCCTTTGCAGCTCGATCGGTGAGGCCCGCCGGCCGGGTGAGGCCCGCCGGCCGTGCTGCGTCGTGTCGTGTCGGTGAGGCCCGCCGGCCGGGCTGCGTCGTCCAAGAAAACGCACACGGCGTTGAGGCCCATGGAGGCGAGCGTCTGCTCGCACTCGGCCGGTGGCCTCTGGTCGTTGGTAGAGTGGAAGACGGGCGCGAGCTGGTCGCCGGACGCCGGTGGAATGGAGGACGAGCGTGGCCACCGGAGCACCCCGCAGCCACAGCTGCTGAGCTGAGCCACTCCGGCCGGAAAAGGGCGCTCGGAGGAGACCACGCGGCGTTGAGGCGCCTGGAGGAGACCATTGCTATTTGCTAGCCCATGAGCCTACGCGTGCCCACTGTAGGATATCCCCATTGGCCAAAGACCTTATATTTCTTGCTTGTAGTGTTAAAGAATTAAAATGGTCAGATCATTTTAAAATTGGAAAAAATTACTATGGAAAAATATGTTTACGTTCATGTGTATGAAATCTTCATCTCCTGTTTCAAGAATTCCCGTTGTGTATTTAGAAATGTCCGTCCTGTATTTCAAAAATGTTAATCACGTATGTAATTTGTTTTGTTGCATATAAAAAACATTCACTATATATTTTATAAGTATTTTTTTTAAACATTCATTGTGTCTTGGTAAAATAAAATTTGTTAATAACGTCCTCATGCGATTTTCATGTACAAAGAGAAAGGGAAAAATATATAAAAACAGAAAAAATAAAGTAAAATAATAACACTGGGACAAAAAGTTAAGAGCAGAAAGCTGAAAAGGAAAATGAAGAAAAACATAAAAGAAAACAAGAGAATGCCCAAATGTGCAGCAGCCTGTTATATCTCGCATTAAGCGATGAGATGGTCGCTTCTCTCGCGTTCAGCTCTAGCATCAACGGGCCGTCGCGTTATCGCTCTTAAAATAAATAAGTCACAGGAAATAGGGCTGGTGTGGGATTGATCCCTTGATATCTTGTTACTTCGTTGCGCTTCTGGCCAATAAGCCATCGCTCATTTCATGTTCAATATGAAGAGCGTGAAGTATTTGAAGTAAAAAAAAAACAGATTTCCACTAGCTTTCAGGAGTTTTTTTGTTTGTTTTTCTTGTTTCACCGTTTCTTCTTCCTTTCTTTCTACGTTTTACTAGTTTCTTTCTTTTCTTTCTTTCTTGGTTTTCATTTGTTTTCTTCAGTCAAAAATTTCATTTTCTTCTCCATTTATTCATTCTTTATTCATTTGTTTTCTCAATTTTATTTATTCATTTTCTTTTTTCTTTTGGTTTATGTTGTTTCTTTCCAGTCTTCATTTCTTGGTTTGCTTTGTTTCTTTAGATTTTTCATTCTACATTTTTTGTATATGTCAACAATATTTTTCTAATACATGCTTAACATTTTCTAATACAATTGTAACATTTTTTCAATACATAGTCAACATATTATATATACAGATTTATTAACATTTTAACTGCTTAATTATAATTAAAAAAAACAAGAATAACATATTTTCAATGTATAGTCAACATATTTCTTATACACACTTTCAATGTTTTTCAAATGATTCATTAAAAAATTTCAAATACAAGATTAATATTTTTCTAATACATGGTCAACGTTTTCTCTATGCACATTAAACCTTTTTCAAATGCTTTATCAACATTTTAAAAAATGCAAGTTTAACAATTTTTTGAATGGATGGTCAACATATTTTCTATATACATTCAACGTTTTTCCAAATGCTTGATTAACATTTTTAAAATCATCTTAATTTTTTAAATTCTTAATTAACATTTTTATGTAATTTTTTTAAAATTCATTATTTATTAATGCATGGTCAACATTTTTATATATATATTTTTAACATTTTCCCAATGCTTGTCTAATCTTTTTAAAATACTTGTCCACATTTTTGAAATATTTGTTCAAAATTTTCAAATGCTTGATTGTTTTTATAAGAATCATCAAAATGTTATCATATTTTTTTCAATACATTGTCAAAAAAATTGTACACACTTTGAATATTTTACAAATGCATGATTAAAAAATTTCAATGAGTTATGTAATATATTTTTGTAAAATATATGTTTAGAATTTTTTAAATTGTAAACAAAAGTGAAAATGTAATAAAAAACGAAATAAAAACATGAAGGAAAAAACAAAATAGAAAGCGAGGCAGTGTACTATCACGAACTGGGCAAGGCATATGCTTGTGCGCGCTTGAGCCAGTCGGAAGCACAACTCGCTGTACACCCTCTCTCTGTCTCCGCCTTTCCAATCTCGAGCTCCAGCGCCCAAGTTGTCATCTCCTTTCCACTCAAGCAACCATGTCCGGATCCGGAGGTCAGGGCAAGTGGATGGTCTCCTCCGTCAAGGAGGAGAACATTACGGAGCTTCGGGCGGCCGGATACTTGGCGAAGGAGATCACTCACCGCCTACCGACCGAGGGACAAGTCGTCCCCACGCTGAAGCCCACCGAGAGGGTAGTGTTCCTCCCCCATTTCTTCCGCGGGCTAGGGTTTCCATTCCACCCTTTCGTCCGTGGGCTGATGTATTATTACGGGATAGATTTCCATGATCTGTCCCCGAATTCCTTCCTCAACATCTCGACGTTTATCGTCGTGTGTGAGGCCTTTCTCCGCATCCAACCCCACTTCGGGCTGTGGCTCAAAGTCTTTAACGTGAAGCCGAAGGTGGTGGATGGCCAGCACGCGGAGTGTGGAGGATCTATGGTGAGCAAGCTCTCTAACGTCTCCTGGCCCAAAGGTACTTTTGTGGACGCAGTAAAGGAGTGGCAGAAGCAGTGGTTCTACATCACAGAACCTTGCGGCACCACCTGGCCGCAGCTGCCGAATTCCGCTTCGGCGCTCCCATGCGACTCACCTCCTGGGTCGAGAAGAGTCCGGACTGGGGTTCCCCTGACGAGGTGATAGCGCTGCAGGCGCGCGTTCAAAGCATGGCAACCAAAAAGGTCAAGCTTGTTGATGTGATCCAAGTGATGCTGGTTCGCCGGATCCTTCCGTGCCAGTGCCGAAGCCGTCCTCTGTGGGAGTTCAACCCGAAGAAGCATCAAACCCTGGTGAGGCTCTTCGAGACTACTCACGAAGGCGCATGGAAGTTTCTCTTTAAGGGCAACGAGAAACCACCGACCACGGACTCAGACCGTGGTCACGATTGTAAACACCTCGCCAGCGAGGTATGCTATTTTTTGATGTATCCCCAACTTAATCGTTTCAAGGATGATGTCTGAGCTTATCATTGTATTTCCAGGACTGGATGGAGAGGGCGAAGCGGATCCAGTGTCTGGCTCTGCTGCCTGAAGAACCGGTCATCCCGCGTCTAGCGGAGATGCTGGGGCCGGCGCCTTATAAGGCGCCGGAGAAGAAGGCCAAGAAGAAGGCCAAGGGGGCCAAGAGCGGCCCCGTCGCAAGGGCACTTTGGACGTGACGTCCGAGGATGACGAAGCTCATTCCTCTGTCCCTGAGGACAATGGCGAGGAAGAGGAGGAGGAGGAAAACAACCCTCCCCCTGAGGAGAGGAAGAAGAAGAGGGCGGCTTTGGCGCATCCGGAGGCGGAAACGCCCAAGAAGGGGAAGAGCGTCCCAGCGGTCAACACCACATGGGACGTTGATAGCAGTCCGGAAAGATGCCCTCGCACTAAGCCCCAGGCCGCATCATAAGTGACACGGCTTGCTCATGCACGCATCCGGTCCTTTCTCTTCATTATCTTGACATAGTTAATTGTGCTATTGCAGTCTGGCCCACGACCTTATCCGGCGATCCTCATCTGGAGGTTCGTTGGCTCCATCGGAGATGGCGAGCATCTCTCCACCGCCTGCTTATTCCCCCGGGGCCAAGGGCGACACCGAAGTGTTATCTCGGCGGACTGCTCCGAACCGGGGATGAACCCAGGATGCTGTCCGGGAGGTGCCGCAAGGGGAGACGTCCACTGCCGGACACATGGGGGAGCCGATCCCCATGGAGATTGGCGAAGAGGGCCACATCCAGTTCGGCCCTCACCCGAATGCGATTCCGGAGGCCCATATGGCTCCGGAGTCGGGCGAGCAGCCCCCTTTGAAGGAGGGGGATGCACCGCTTCCACCGGTGGCCCCTGTCCATCCAGGGGCGCCGGATAACCTGATGGAGGTGCTTCGAGGCGCCTCCGTCATGGGTGACCACCGTGTCCTTATGGGTGCGGTGATCGAGAAGATTCAGTTCACCAAGAGTGGATTGAATGAAGCCTACAGCAGCCTGTTGACAGGTTTTGAGGTAAGAAAGAGAAAAAACCCCGTGTAGACAGTAGCCCCTGAGACACTATCCGGTGTTCGGCAAGAAGAACCGGACAGAGGATCAATCTTTTGTTATGGGAGACTAACGTAATATGTATGAATAAGCAGGCGTCGCTTTTGGCCGCAACCTCGCATGCTGCCGAAGTCTCTGAGCTGAGGCAGAGGCTAGAGCGGACCGAGAACGAGCTCGGCGAGGTTAAGGTTCGGCTCCAGGAGAAGCAAGGTGAGTGACGACTTGCTGTGTGTTCGGAAAGGATAGGCGCTGCATATTGACCGTAGTGTCGT